TCGACTTGGGCAAAAGCAGCTTGCCTTTCGCAGCGTATTATGTGACGGCAGCAATAACTGTAGGTTCCTCATTTTCTCGAATTCGTCGAAACTGATTGTCCGCAGTATATCTTTTATGTCTGGTACCAGACGAATCTCGTCAAACCGCGATACATTGCCGCAGCCAAGGCCGGCAAAACGGTACCCCCAGAGATCAGACTTGAGATTGGCCTCATGGCCAGTATCTTCATCCCTGCTAGTATGCTCATCTTCGGCTACACCGCAAGGGCGGACATCCACTGGTCAGTCTTCGACCAATTTTTTCCGCAATCAATACTCACGGGATTTGTGCTCGTAACAGGATCGTTCCGGTCATTGGCGCATCTCTTTATCTTCCGGGGATCTTCCTCACTTTCTTATCTATTCTCATTTACATCGCATCTTCTTACCACAACTATGCGGCCTCTGCATTGGCGGGTAACGATTTCTTCCGGTCTACGATGGCGAGTGTGTTCCCGTGCGTCGTCTGGTTTTTCTGTCAAAAAGCATCGTTTTCACCCCCCACATTCCTTAGACTGTTTGGTACGTTCTACTTCGAAAACCTCGGACTTGGAACCGGCGGTGCGGTGCTAGCAGGCATTGCATTCGGCCTCATTGCGGTATATTATGTGAGTTCCCACTGGATCTGTAAAGGTCTGGTGATTTACAGTCATTTAGGTGCTCTGGCGATTCGCGGGTCGCCTACGCGCAAGATCTAAATACGCCGGCCACCATTAGGTTTACGGCCCTGAGGTTTGCCTCGTTCAGAACATCACGACACCCATACAACACCTCATATGTAACCAACATATTCGAATTCATATCTACCGTGCCATGGCACGGACCTGGCTTCGGACGTTGCTTCTTCATCGGTTTGACCATTTGTATCAGATATCCACACGCAATACTTAGAGCTCGTTTCCCGTCAATAATTTTAAATTTATGAATTATACGACCTCATTAATTTGTGAATCTCGTCGACTTCCGTGTCTAGGGCATGACACCAAGGATTTTGGTGGATGAACGTGGCTGAAGCGCGGCTTGGAACAGCGTGGATTGCAGTATAATACTCAAGTGACAGGGAGCGCTACTAGTGGCCCCAGCGAGCTGGCAGGGGTAGCATGGAGTCGTAGGAGGGCAGCCCAATCCAGGGGGTCAGAGGAACCTCGGAGGGCCGCCACTCTGAGTTTGAGAGTGGGGCGACCGTGACTGATGCATCGAGCCCATGTTCCCTGAATGGCGCCATGCAATCCTCGTAGCTGGGACTCAGTTCAACACCATATCTAAGCCGGATGGCGAGGTATCGGAAGGGGGTGCTGAGGTTGACACGTTGTTCCAAGAACGTCTGCAGCACGTCGACAGACAAGGAGAAAGAGTTAGTCACAACAAGCTCGGTAAGTGCGGGATAGATGAGCACGGGTGAACTGGCACCGGGAGTGAGTCGGCGAAGAAGATCATCTGTGTAATCCAAGTCTGACTCCGTAAGCTCGAGGTGGACGAGGGCAGGAAAGAAGGAGCTGAACATTTCGGGGTCAGATAGACCGCATATGAAGGATGGTACGGAGCAGAAAAGGTGTTGGACTAGTGGCGAATTTTTGCTGAGACATTTAAGTGCATTGCCCGCGTCAGTATGTGGCGCCAGGGCAAAATACAGGAGATCAGGCAACCAGAGATGCTCGAAGAGATCCTCCAGAGCAAACAGATTGGAGGACTGGAGTATCAAGAGCCTCCGGAGGAAAGCTAGTGTGAGAGCTTCCGGAATGCTTTCAACCACGACATTGGGTCCGAGCTCAAATGAAACAAGCCGCGGCGTCTTTTGTAAGAGTTCCAAAGCGTGGATGGACTCGCCGTCTGGCGTATAAACCGCCGCGCTGCTGGGACGGGAGATCGAAAGATGGGTGAGCTGCGACCAGTCAGCATTTGGCTTGAATGCTGAAGGGTTCGACGAGCACAAATAGAGCTCGCGAAGATGTTCGCCTGTGAACAGAGCGAGCTCGGGTTTGCGAAGCTCAGCGTCGGCAGGGCCAACCATTTGCGGGAGGTCGCCAGATATTTTGAGCAACTCCAATCCGGGCGCATGCACCTCTGCGAGCTGCCGTAGCATCGACGGATCGAAGCTTCCCAACTCCACACAGCGCCAGCGCGGCGCAGCTCTGATTAAGAGCCTGTGGATAGCTTCCAGGCCCTCGGAGCTGAGGAATATGTTCGAGTGGCCCCAGCGGTCCCAGCCATGATCCCATGTATTGCCCACAAGTGACAACGAGAGGGAACACGCGGCGGAGCGCTGAAGCCACTCGTCGAGAGCATGCATGCGTCGCTCGTCCGCCAGTACAAAATGGAAGGGAATGTGTATGGACGCCCAGAGCTGCGGGGTAGTGTGCGCGATGTTCCGCCAGGCGCTACAAATCCGACAGAGTAAGACGGGAGCTTCTGTCGGGCTCATAACAGCATTCCGGTCGGTGGGGAGGCATGCAAGAAATATTTCCTGCACTATGTCGCGCGGAAGACGGCGCGGGTGAGAGATGAGCGCCTTGTGTGAGTCCAGATAAGCCCCGATTTTGTCGCGTTCGATGCAGAGACTTTGGATCAGTTTGTCGAGGCGGCCAAACTCTGCTGCTTTTAGGGTAAGATCTGTTTGTATCCGCTCGATCTCCTCGTCAGATGGAATGTAGTTCGTGTACAGTCGGTCAAGAAATTCTGCCTCCATCGTGGTGGCAGAAAACAAGGTTGATATGATCCGGGGAATCCGGAATGATGGCGGTCCGGCGTCTTTTCCCGCGGTTTGAGATTCGTTAGGGATTCTGATGGATCCAAGGCTAAAGTGAAGCGATCGCGAGCGCGGCTAACAATCCTCCCGAAACACGAAACAAGCTAAAGCAACTCCTGTGAGACGGGCGAGGCTCATTGTGTACGATTTCGCCGATACTGCTTATGCCTACTGCGGCCGTTCATAGACCAGAGTCTTTGTTTTCAACGTCTGATGAGGAGGAACCAGAGCTCTCAGCGAGGTCCGAGAGTATCGATGGTGCGTACTTGGCTTTCCTTGTAGATACCATGATACTTACGTTTGCGCACTGGCAGCTCCTGTTACCCCACGGCGTAGAAGACCACGCAGCGCCATCGCCAATGGGCAGCCTGGTCCTTCAACCTTCCGGCAGTCGTCCTCCTCTTCCGACAAAGAGGAAGGTAAATTACCAGTGAATTTCGACAAACGGAGGGTACAGCGCAAGCCGGATGAGGACGTCGCCTCGGATGCGAGTTCAACAGACGTCGATGACTCGAGGCGTAAGTGTGGTTTTGTGATACCATATTTTATACCGCTAATATCCCCCAGCTCTCACTCCACCTCCCTCGACAAGCTGACTCCGGCGCAGCAAAAGCAGGCAGCGCTCCGAAGGTTACGAGGTCTTCGCAACCAGAGGTCTTTATCGAGAATTGCACCGAAACCCCCTGGCGACGAGGTGGAGGAGGCGCGTTCTGACCATGAGTCAGCGTCCGGGGAAAACTTGAAGGAGGATAGGGATTCCGACGCAGAGACAGACGAAACTTCACAATATGGTGGCTCTTTCATCAACGACGACGACGTCGATCCCGAGGCGGCAAAGAAGGTCGACGCTGCGCTTGCCCCAGACCGCGATAAGCGCCGTTCGATTGAAGACCACCTGGCAGTATTCATTCAATACATTGTCGAACTGCATTTTGAGCCGAAACTTTTCTCGAGAATCTCGAAAGCGGATGGTGTGTACTACCTCCCCTACTCCGCTTTTACTCACTGTATGGCAGCGGACTATTTCAGAACGGCAATAAACGGTCTTCGTCGAGACACCAGCGGATTCGCGGATTCGATTCGGTTGCCAACCTGGAGCGCGCCGTTCACTGTCACCTTGGATCTGCGTCCTGAACTTGAGCACGAGTACAAGACGGACGATCGATTCCCCACCAAGCGGCACGTCGTCGACCCTAAGAAGGGATACGGGTGTCAGGCTTGTTGGACGCGTGGGGACAAGACGTGTGATGGTGGCGGCCAACGCATGTTGTGGACCACGGGTGGTACCTATGATCTTCGGGGAGACACGTTTGAGGTATGCTGCATCTGTGTCTTGAAAATCCACATATCTCAACTCTTTCAAGGGGAGTGATGAAGAAGAGGGGACCGAATATGAGCTCGACAGATACTTCAAGAATCGTGCACTGGCCCTCAAAATTCCTTATCCACCGAAATTCAAGCTGGACGTCGGAGCGCGGTGCTGTAACCGAGCTGCTGTCTAGTAAATTCCACACCATTTAGTAGTTGAAACGACACTAAACCTATTCTGTTAGCCATGAAGCTCGCCATTATCCATTCGTTGTAGCCACCCGCGTGAGGAGGGTGATTATCGACCAACGTCTACAGTATGATAAGCGCCATGATTTCTTTGTTGAAGAGGTAAGTATTCGTCAGACCCATTTTTATTCTCTAACCCCGCACCAGTTTAAGGAAGAACTACAATATTCCATCTGGAATTGGGAGCGCTGGCAAAAACGATTCGATCTGGAGGAAGACTTCGCACACGATAATGTGGAAAGCACTCAGGAATAAAAATCTTCAACATCGGATGAAGAAACGATCCAAGTTCTAGAGGGACTGCAGAGTTCCTACGAGAAACTGCGACCTCAAATCACCGCCGGTTGACTCTGTACTTACTAATTTATTTATCTTATCCTTGATGCTCCGTTCATTTTCTTCCTGTCTTCTCAATCTATTCATAGCTATTCATTCAAGGAGGAGTTTGGGATTTTGCCAAACAACTTCACTCAAAGTGCGTGACCGCCGCGGGCCATGGTCCACTCTCTCAATTCCCTACGTCATGAATTGAAGCCTCAAATTCGAACCTTAGGCGTCTCTACACCAGAAACGCAAAATCCGGTCGAACCTCGACGCAGTTGAGTAACCTGTTTAGCAGAAGTCCGTCAGACTATATTGCTCGGAGATACTCACCACATCCCTCTTAGCTCAGTTGGTAGAGCGCGTCACTAGTACACGTTTATGAAATGACGAGGTCAGTCGTTCAAATCGGCTAGCGGGAATATTCTGGTGCAAAGCTATTTTTCTATCTTCTTTTTTAACCAAAGCAAATCCTCCTCGTTCTTCAATTTATCATGTTAACGCGAACCCAAGCCGCCGTTGTTATCCTCCAAGTGTTCCAAGGTCGGAGCCCACTCACGATCCAGCGATTCAAAGCCAAGTCATTGCTGTATCTGCAAGATAATTTCCTGGCGTGCATGACGGTCTTGGCGGCAAGGAATACACCAAAGCAAGGTTTCCATCCGCTCTCAGCCTTTCCTCTGCGGCAATCCGTCAGTCGGCGAGTCGAAAATTGAACCACATCATGATGTTGAAAAATCAGCTCTGGCCGTAATTCAACCAAATCTCCGCCCGACTCCGGGGATACATGTACTTGATAACAAGAAAAGAAACCCTCTCATGGCTGTCTTGGCGGTGACTCACCACACCGCCTGCCTGCCATCTTCCAAATTCCATCTGAAGTCCAGTTTTAATAAAACACCGGTGTTCTGACGGCATACCAGACAGGAGCGCCTCAGCAGCGGGGTTGACGTTAAAACTTAACGTTAGTGTCGTACATCGGTGTCGTTCAGTACTAGTGTCGTCAGTGTTCTCGTACAATCTCGTCAACCGGGAACGTTATCGAGCACGTTTGAATTAGTCGACGTTATCAAGCCGTTAAAATGGTTCCCGACGCCGGGCGGGCGGCGTTCCCGCAGCCTGTCTTCCCACCGGCATTCATAATTAGGTGTTTCATTTCGACGGTCGGCGGCAGGAAGGAATGGAACATTCGTCGCAAATTCCGGCTGTTTGCCTTGCCAAATTATTTTGAGGTTGTCTGTGGGCCATTGGAACGTCGGGATGAACGTTCCCTTCCCCTGCACACCCGCGCCGCGGCGCCGGCGTTTTCCCAAACACGATACGATAGTCAAAGCGTCTCTCCTCCTCTCCTCTGTATATATGCAACGACCAACCAACTATCAAACGCATGTATATGTGTACCCGCAGGCAATATATGTAGATGTCGAACGTATGTATGTATGTACAGAAAATCGAATCAAGCCAATCTGCGTCGGGGCGAAAGGGTTCCTGGATGTAATATGTATTCAAAAATCAAGAGCGCGGCACGACAAGGCAACATGTACAAGAAGTTAACGAGGAAGGAAACGAAGAAAGGGATTCCACTGGGAGGAAACTTGTGTAGGAAGGGATGTGGGAAGCTTAAGCTCGTGGGGTGGCGAACGAAATATAAAAAGTGGAAGCAAGAAATCGGCAAGTAAAAACGCAGACGCAAGACGAGACGAGAGGTAGGTAGGTAGCGTAACGTAGTAGCGTACTGTACATACAGAGAAACCAGGAGGCATAAAACCCATAAAGAAAGAAACGCAATGCAATAAAAAAGAGGCGTAGGATAGCTTGTCGGTCGGCTCTGAAAAAAAAAAAAAATCGTCAGCCGCTACTCCCTCATCGAAAACCGTGAACGCAAACGCACCACTAAAATAAACATAAACTACTCTTGATTTGGTCGATTGGTTGGTTGGTTAGGGTTGGTGGTGCGTCAAGCACGAAACACCGCATGGACTTGTGCGCGCGCTTTGCTTTGCTCCCCTCTGTAGCTGGTATGTAGGCATGTAGATCTGGGTGTGTGGGGTGGGGTGTATATGCATGCAATGGTATCGGTATCAAACAGGAATAATGGGAGGAGTGTCTTCTCTGCGTACTGAGGGTGGGGCGTCCCACTCGCAGGGAACGGCGCAGACGACCGTGGGACACGGGGATAATTTACAGTCTCTTGGGTGGGGGTGCTTTTGCTTTTGGTTCCTGGTTCATCGGCGCTATTCGTCCTCCTTTGCGCCCGACTTGCCGACGCACACAGAGGCGCGTTATTCCTTGTGCCGACTAATCTTCTCCACCCCCGCCCCCAGCGCCGTAACCCGCCGCTTCTCCTCCTCCTCATCCTCGTCCTCGTCCTCCTCTTCCTCCTCTTCCTCCTCATCGTCGCCGGCTGCCCGCGGCTCATGCTGCTTATGCTTGCCCGCCTCCTCATCCTCCGACTCCGAATCACTCTCATCCTCCGAATCCGTCGCCGAGCTCCCACTCCCACTCCCCGAACTCGACCCCGAGCTCGCCACGCTAATCGTCGGCACCGCTTGCTCGCCCTGTCCTTCCCCGCCTTTCGCCTCCCCTCCTTTACCCGCCGCGCCCGCCCCCTCCGCAGGCACCCCATGCGACGAATGCGAGTGCGAGTGCGAATGCGAATGCGAGTGGGAATGATGATGTCCCCGAAAGTGCGCCGGCAGATTAACCGCCCTGAGCACATGCTGCTCCTCCTCCGCCCCTTGTTGCAGCGCCGACGCGGACGAGTTGCCCGCAAACGGCGAGGACGTGTACGGGTGCGACGGCGTCCCGAGCGGGGTGCCCGACACCGAGGCAGAAATGAGCGCGGGAGCGTGGAGGGGCGATGGCGACGTCGAGGGCGGCGACGCAACCGCATCGGAGGCAGCAGGAGACGCAGAAAGCACCTCCGGCGACGCAGGCGAATCCCCCGTCGGCGTCGGCGTCCCGTCGTCTTCCTCCCTCCCCGTTGCTGCTGCCGCAGCGTCCCCATTCCCATGCCCGTTCCCCTGCTTCTCCTCGCCTGCACCACCCTCCTTCGCCGCCTCCTCCCTCGTAACCTGCGCCTTTACCCCCTCCTCCCTCTCCCTTCTCTCTTTTTCCTCCTTCTCCCGCGCCTCCCGCTCCCGCGCCTCCCGCCGCCGCCTCACCCACCCCATCCCGCTCCCGTCATCATCGTCCACCGCGTCGTTCGACGTCACGACACCCATACCCACCGCCGGAGCGGGTTCCGGCACGGGGGGCACATCAGAGGCGGAGGCGGAGGAGGCGCCGTTGGGGAAGGAGGAGCTGGTCGGTGTTTTGCCTGAGGATGTGCCTGCGAGAAAAAGTCAGCGGTTTGTTGGGAAAGGGGGGGGAACGAGTAATTTATTGAGAAGCAAACACGCACCGCCCTGCACCCGCCCCCACGCCGCATGCCCCGCCGAGTTGCGCACAGAGCCCATCCCGCCGTACCCCCACTCGACAAACTCGGGCTCCTCATCGCGCGCGTTCGCAAACGGGTTTGGGTTTCCTGTTAAGGCGTTAGCATTCAGGTGAATTTTTGCGATTAGAACAAGAGAAATGTTAGCGATTAAAACAAGAAAAGGAGGGAGGGCGGGCGCGAGGCTACCGGACGCGCCGCCATCCCGAACCCAAACCCGAACCCGCCCCGACGCCTAGATCAGCCAGACTCGATCGCGCCGCGCCGCGTATCCCCAACACGCAAAGACCGAATAGGTAGGTGAATGAATGAATGAATGAAGATAGGCGTAGCGTCTATCCCCGCCCGCCCGCGCACGAGATGAATGAACCCCGGTGGACCGTGGACCGAGACCAATGGCATATCCCCGCGCAGCGCATATGCGGACGCCGGCCGAGATGAATAGACGCCTACGCGTACATGGTAACGCGGCGGGAACCCCGGTAAACGGGGACGAACGCGCGTCCACGTAGCCGCAATATCCCCGCGCCTATGGCTGGAACGCCGCCCGAGATGGATGGATGGATGAATAAACGCAGGAAACGCGCGTCTCGGCCTAGGCCAGGCCAGGCCACGCAACGGGGCGGGATCGAGAACGAGCGGTGAATGAATGAATGATTCAATGAACGCGGACACGCCAGCGGGCGTGGATCGAGCCGAGTGCCAGCACTACGCGTCCCCTGGCCGGGCGGGCACCCGAGGAGGTAGGCGTGGATCGAGACGAAGCGCGAACCCTCCCGCGACGCGAAGAGGCAAGGCAGCGTGACCCCACGCGATCGCCAGCAGCACAAATGAAAGCCCGGGCGGGTCATGCGTCGCCAGCCACGCGCAGTATGAATGCCAGGAAGCAAAGCGAACCCAAACCCAAACGCGGGAAATGAATGAAAGCCCGTCCGTGGACCGGCGTATTCGCTACTGGGTGAAGGCGGCAAACGAACGCATCACGGCCTTCCCGCGAACGCCGCCATATAGCCACGATGATGAACGCCAGCATCACACCGAGCGGCCGCCGTCCAGAATGAACGCAGCACCTCGTCACCGCGCTTGCTCCGCCCTGTGCCCGAGATGAACGCACGCCAAGCGCCAAGCGCCAAGCCACTGCCAGCATCCAGGAAAGGCAGAAGACAGAAGGCAGAGATAAAGGTAGATGGAGGGGCGGAATGGAAGGCACGCAGCACAAAGAGGAAGAGGGAAAGGTGGCGTGAGGCGGGGTGGTGTGTGCGGGGGTGGCGTAGTCGATGGAATAGAATAAAGGAAAAAGAAAGAGAAACGAGAGGGAAAAAAAGAGAAACAAAGCAAAGGAGGAAAGCCTCCAACGCCTCGAAAACAAAGGGGAAAGAACGAGTGAAACAAAGGAAACGCTGCTCACCATTTGCCCCCCTCGACCCATACACCCGCCCATTCAACATCCTCGTCCCCCGCTTCCCCGCGTCGCCCCCGCTCCCCAGACTGAGACTGTTAGCGAACGGGTTCAAAGCAGGCGGGACGCTCCCGCTCCTACTCCCCTTCCGCTTCCCCTTGCCCTCCGGCGTGCCGCCCCCATTCGACGACGCCGACGCAGAGGACGAGTTCGACCCGAGAGAGAGGGACGAGCCGCTAAAGAGCGACCTTCCGCGCTTCTTGCCCACGCTGGCACTGGCGCCGCCCCCGCTCTGCGACCGCGCGAGCGGGCTCCCGTTCGTCGCTGCGCTGCCGCTTTGCGCGGAGGTGGAGGAGGACCAGCGTTGGAGGGACGCCCCCCAGCCTGCGTCGGGCGTGTTGTCGAGTGAGGGCGTGGGGGTGAGGCTGTCCGTGCTCGATGCGGGCGTTGTGCCCCCGCGGCGGAATGGGCGCAGGAGGGACTTTGGTTTGGGCCAGGTGGATGATTTGGAGGGGGGGTGGAACGAGGAGGGCGGGCCGGGGAGTGCTTGAGAGACGGTTTGTGGGCTCTGTGCGGGGGAGGCTGAG